TCTTTTAATGCATGTGAAAAAATCTCCTACGAATTTCCATAATTCTCCATAATTGAGGTAATATGTTCTCTTATCTCCGGTATAGTGGCTAGTCCAAATAATTCAACCATCTTCTTCTCAAAAAACCTGATTTAATTCCATTTCTCAAACATAACATCTTAAATACTTTGAAATATCCCTTCCATCAAACTGGTCAATTTTATTGACCATTGCTTGCAAAACTTTGGTTGCTAAAGCTTCTTTGCAATCATTGCTTTGTTGTTGCTGCATAGATAATGATAAGGCTTCAAACATACTAGCAATAGATGGATCTACGTACATACCCTGTCCTTTAGAAGAAACTCCACCAGAAGCTCTACTTGAAGCTCCTTCCAAAGATCCTTCAAAATTTTTATTCTCATTCTCCATAAAATAAAATGAAAATAAACGAAATCCAATACCTTCTACCTCAAGCTTTTACGTTGGGTTCACCACTTATGTCGTATTACGTGCTATCTTGCTTGAGAATGTATCGGGCATGTAGCTGTGGAAGATAAAACAATGTTTTATAAGTATACAGGTAGGCTAGTGGATTTCAACCATCTAAATATAAATTATTTCAGATTTCAATGTCAAAGCTTAATTCCAATACAAAGTACTTAGAAACACTATTTTTAATAACTTCAAGATATTATAAGCACAAAGTCAGTTTTTATTTGTTAGTTTTTTATTTTTTATTTTATTATATTATTTTTATTTTTATTTTTATTTTATTTTTAACCCTAATTCTAGACAACGAGCTTCAACAAGCTGTAATTCTCAATCTGACCATCCGATTGTTGTAAATTTCTATCACTAGTGTCTTTGCAAGCCTTCTAAATGCTTAAGAAGTTTCAATCCAATCTAACTTACAAGTTGTAAGAAAATGCCGTTAATCCACATTGATGTATCTTAACTGCCGCCTAGAAGTCCTTGACTTACCACGCCAAAAGTCACCTTATTCGAGCTGGTAGATCTCTAGATATTACAGAACTCCTAAACAACCCCAATCTGCTAACTTCTGATACCTCTTTACACTAATGGTCAAATATCCTCTATCTGTTCCGTTGTCATGATGTAACATGGATAACAAGTGAAACGGTGAAAAAAATATCATGTTTTGAAGATCTCACTTCAAAAATATTGTAGAAAATTATCTTGGAAAAATAGATATTAGTCAAAGGGTAAAAAAATTAAAGCTACTAATGCTGCCTATTTACAAATTATGCTTCTATTTACTTTGTAAGGCCAAAAATAAGGAAAAACAAGGTAGATTAGAAAAATAAAGGATATAGGCATATGTAGGGAAGAGTTAGGAGTGCAAATTAGTAAAAATTACCTCAAGAAGACGAAAGTTGATACCTGAAGAGGACTGGTTATAAACCTGGGTCGAAATCAGATGCAGAGGCACAAAACCTCACTCTGACGGCGACTCAAGGGTTCTTTGGAAGATCGGAGAACCAAATTGGAGGCCGACTTGTGGAGAAATTTTTGAGAGGTGATTTTGTGTCATTTGGATCAATATTGGATTTTTGAGGGATTTTCAAAGTAAGTGATGTTCTCTATGAATTTAGATCTTTGAAAAATAAAATTGGTTTACAAATTTTTGGATTTCGTGACTTTTGTAGCATTTTTACGAGTAAAAATTTAAAAACTTATTGGTATGCTTGTTGTGAATGTGTACAGGAGATTTGAGGTTAATCGAATGGCTAGATTAATACATATGAAGGTTTTTGTGGGCTAAGATCTCGAGATTTAGGGTTTTGAGGACCACTAAGGTTTTCTTAGATATCTAGCAATCTGCCAATTGGATTGGAGAGATTTTTAGTTTTATCAGTAGAAGACTTGACTTCCTATGTCTAAGTAAAATTTGGAAGCAATCAAACAGTGGAAAAAAGAGATATTGGTGCTAGAAGTTTGGCATTAGATTAGAAAAGGAGAGGCCTACCGACATCCGAGTAGAATTTTGAGGTCATCAACTAATGGGACCTTTTGTTGCAATTTTCTTTTACCTTCCATAGCCATGTACCCGGTGCATTTTCAAGCAAGACTTCACATAATACGACACTGTCAGATTAACACAAACTTTTGCATGTACTCGACATACTCAACCTTCTACACACCTCTAAATTTCAACCGCAGAAGTTTCTCCAATTTCACAAAACAATCAAGAGTACCAACCGCTACTTTATTGCAAAAAATCCAATTCACCAATCCAAACACTGACTTTTAGCAATGATTGCCAAAGTTCTCCAAATCCTATGAAATCCAATGTTACACCTTTCCTATAAGCTTCAAGCTAGCTCTCTGACCCCAAAAATCCGATCTCCAAATGCCCCTTTCCTTATCCTCTCCTCCCTTTTAACTCCGTGTGGTCTCCTTTTCTCCCGCCCTAGACTTCGAATTGGAACAGCTGATGGCGCTTCTCCGAAATTCCTATTTTTAAGAGGATCTTTCTACGGAAAGGACATTTCTCCTGAAACGGCATAGAGAATAGGACAGCTTGAAATGGAACCGAAGCCTCCGTATTTGAGACCTCATTGGGTTGTCCAACCAAGTCAGGTCTCATACTGGGTAAGAGGCCCATACCAAGACTTGGATTGGATGTCCCTGTAATTGGGTCAAATTAGTCCTTCACATCAAACTCACCTAAATATTGAATTGGTCCTTTTCTCTTTTGCCAACTCCTGGTAAGAATGGCTCGGACTCATTCTACCCGATTTATTGGAGAATCTTGAGGACCTTGATTTATCTCTTCAATTTTTCCTTAGCTTTGGATCTGCTGATCACCTTTATTGAAATTGGATGGAGCATTACATTGTTGATAAGTATGCCTCGACTGCTTGTAATTCCTTCATACTGACGCGTAATCATCAATGGCTTTGGAATTGGAACATTCTTTGGCATAATGACCAACTTGTCTGCAACGGAAACGACGAAGTAGTCTTCCTGCACCCCCATCATGTATATTGGGTGTCTCCACCGGTATATACCTAATAGGCTTGTTCCATGTAAGGTTGGAAAATGATCTTGGTTGTCCCGTTGGTTAGAAGGGTATTTGGTTCGATGACATTGGTGGGGTGAAATTAACTGACCCTGAATATTGGCACTGAAATTGGACACTGTTTTTAACATCCAAGATGAGTATATATTAATAATATCTTTTTCATTTATATTTTCACCATATAGTCGTGTTATAACATGACACTATGTCTATGAAGCTTCTATAAAGCTTCTTTAGAAGACTTTATGAAATTATTCTATGTTTACCTATTTCTACTTAATCATATAAGTAACTATTGAGGTAAATATATATGTTCATGACACTTAATAACTTATAATTCTAAATTAACTTATATTTTAAACCTAGCAAAAATCAACAAATCTTTAAAGATTTATAATAGACTATAAATTTAGGTAGATGTAGATTACTTTATTGTCATCTAAAAAAAATCGTGTCAATGTTTTTGTATAAATATATAGAAACTTCTTAATATCATTTCTAACTATACCAAAATGTATTTTTTATAATTATTATAGTTACTAAATCTTATTAAAAAAATTATTAAATTCCATTAAGTAATATATATATATATATATATATATATATATATATATTTATAAAATAATAAATTATTGAAACTTTGGTAACAAAAATTCGTATTTAAGAATTAAATTAAAGATAAAAAAATACCTTTACAATCACTTATATTCAACTTAGATGCATGTTATATTAGATTTGTTAAGTAATTCAAGATAATTTCACACATGTATTGAAAGAAACACACACTTTGGAGTTATTTTTATAAAGATCTAATCAAACAAATATATAATATCCTTATTATAATTATTTAATCAAATTTCATTGATCATAAGATCATCACTTTGCTAAATTTGCTAATAGAAATTTTTTGTAAATTTACAATTGTATTTAATATTTAAAATCCTATTATGCTTTGTTTAAAAATAATATATTTTTTAAAACCTCAGAAAGACAAAGTCCAGGAAAAAAAATAAAAGTAGAACTCTAATACATAAATAAAATCTAAAAGCAATTTATATATTTCAACAAGACTTAGATTCTTGTTAAACCATGTGTAATATATAAATGACAATATAAAATATAACTTTCTCATAAATAATTATTAATAGAGTTGTAACATTAATATATATTATTATATTGTAGAACAATACTTTCTTATTTTAGAAATATAATAATAAAAAATAATATTATGTTTTAATACAAATCATGTGCATGCACCTAATTAAAATTACATTAAATTATATTTTATTTAATTATACCTAATTTTGTATCTTATGAAATTAGGTATAATAAAATAAAACATAATTTAATATAATTTTAGTTAATTAATTATATTTAAACATGAGAATAATATGAAATATATATAGTAATAATGAAATATTTTTTATTAGAAAAAATATATATATATATATATATATATATTTGAACTTCAATCACTTTTTGGTTGATGACACTACATTTATAAAAAAAAAATAATGGCTAAATTTTTAATGCAATATTCACTAAATATACTACTTGATTTTTAATTAATTAAAAAAATATTGAAATTTTTATAATATTTAATTTAAAACTATAAATACTTGAGATATAAAATTTTCTGTATAATAAATAATAGTTATTTTGAATTATTCTCATTTTAATTAAGATAATTCGTAGTTGAATTGATAGCATTTGATTTTTAAGGAGGCATTAATGTAAAGTATTAAAAACCATACTCTTTTCTCCAATATTCCTCAAATAAAAACGCAACGACCAAATAAAAATCTCCATTAGTACTTGGGATGTAATCTCGCAATAAGATGTCGAAATGCGACTGCTCGACGACGATCAGATAATGAATCCAAAATCATTCATCCACTTGGGAATCGTAATGGACGCGTTCACACACGTCCAGGCGGGAACGCTCAAGCCGTCCTCTGTAAATTTCTGTATACATGTGTTTCTGTTTCAACCTCCTTGCCTTTCGCATCACCGCATTTAGATTTGGAGCTTAGTTCAGGGCCCGATTTCTTGCTCACCACTGCTGGAGCTCAACGCGGGCTTCATTTGCATCGGTGAGCTTCGAATTGGGTTGATTGGATTAGGCTTGACAGCACCGGAGAAGTGAAGACTCTGTGCAGATCGCGTGCTAGGTTGTGTCGCTTGCATCGGCAGCGATGGGGTTCACGGCGTGGTGGTATGCGTGGACCCATGCGTTGCTGTACATGTCGCCTTATACGTACTCTGCCATTGGAATTGCGATCTCAATTGGGGTGTCCGTCCTCGGAGCCTCATGGTACGCGCTCACCTTCTCTCGTTATTACTGGGTTCTCTGTAGCTCGTCTTAAATGTATGCTAGACCTGAGTTTCTCGATGATGGGTGCGCCTTATACGGACATTGTGGATGTTTTAGATCGAAGACTTGAAATTAGAACACATTTGAGGTGGAAAAGCGATGGTAGAATGTAGAGTATGGTGTACCAAGAGTGCTTTTGGAGTAATCTTGTGTGATAGGTCTTTGTCCAGTTTCTTGAATTTTATACTTATGGTTTAGATGGTGGAGGGAATTTTCTATACTGTCGATGGGACTTACATTGACGTGATTTCTTCTGCAGGGGAATTTATATCACTGGGAGCAGTCTCATAGGTGCATCAATCAAGGCTCCTCGGATCACCTCAAAAAACCTAATTAGGTGAGCTGAGAGATATTGAAGTATTGGATTTATTTTTTCCCCCTGTTTGTAGCTGATTTTGGACGTTGAAATGGTTGTGTTTTGTTATTGAGCAGCTTGTGAAATTCTATGCAGTGTAATTTTCTGCGAAGCGGTGGCTATCTATGGAGTGATTGTAGCCATCATACTGCAAACCAAGTTGGAAGCCACAAAACAACCTTTTCACCCCGATTCCATGCGCGCTGGCTACTCATTGTTCGCTTCGGGAATCATCGTTGGGTTTGCGAATCTGTTATGCGGGTTAGTCTTCTTCATTAATTCACGAGTTGTGATTCACCTTTGTTTGTTGGTTTCATATGTCTAAGAGGTTAGGCTCAAACTAACTGCATTTATTCCAGGACCATTCTTCATGATATGTGTTCTCAGGGTTAGTGTCTGGTAATAAATCGAAGTGTCGTGTGCTCTACAATTAAAAGCTCTGACTCAAGTGGAATTGTGATTTTCTTTGAGTCATGGTAGTTCTATCAGTCCTTGATTTATGATCCCCGTGCTGACTACTCATTGTTCGCTTGATCCCTGTCTGATGGCAGGCTATGCGTGGGTATCATAGGCAGTAGCTGTGCACTTTCAGATGCTCAGAACTCCACATTGTTTGTCAAGATTCTAGTTATTGAGATTTTTGGCAGCGCTCTAGGTTTGTTTGGAGTTATTGTAGGTATCATCATGTCGTCGCAAGCTACATGGCCAGCAGCTGTCGTAGCCTGAACCTATGCAGGTCTTAGATTATTAACATACCTACAATCTGCAAGCGGCGCAAAAGGCATGTTAAGCTTGAAATGAGAATAGTTTTAAACTCTTCCTTCTGCGAGCAGCCATTCGTGGATCATAAGCCAGATGTTCCAGCTTGCGTGAAGGTATTAACTTTGGAAGGCTCAATTAGTATGAGAAAAATAACTCAGATTCGGTGCTCCCTTGCTTGCATGTACTTTTAGGTCGATTTTGAAAGGTTAAAATATTGGTTTGATATCCTGAGCAGATGCGTAGTATCCTCATTTGAAAGGCATATATCCCTTGTAGGAAGAGTATCTTGGGGACTAGGTGCTCTTTAAGAAAAATTCTTGTGGACATTTTTTGTGTATGATGGGTTTCGAGCATTTTCACATGCTGTGGACAAGTTACCCATTCTGCCTGTTTAAAAATCATAGATAAAACATTCAATTTCATTTTGGGTTAGTGAATGATGGATTCAATTTCCTTGAATAACCGAAACTTCGCCTGTATTATCAAACGAGGTATGTTATGGCAAAGTCACGTTAACCTGACACAAGTGTACATACAGATTTACTTAAATGAATGTTGTTCCTCATGCATACAAGAGAAGTAACATTTTAGTTCAGAATGGAGAGTAATTAAACTTGGAGTTCAATGCTTGAAACAAAAAAGTTAATGCTTATTGAAACTTGACAGTTGGAGCACAGGGAACGATGCGTGTGTGAGTTTTACCGACGCGCCCTTCATTCTCTACCCCGCGGACCTTTCAGTATTGAACCCACTTGCTTGTAACTGCACCTACAATTCATCGTTGTGTTGCTTGTTGAGCTCTGGATTAGCGGAACCTAGCTTACAGATTTTGTACTCCGGATAGACAGGTGATGGATGACAGGAATGCCTCTCGGGACAGTGCACATCCGCCTCACAGCAACACCACAATTGAAGTGCACAGAGGCCGGAGTAATTTGGTGCGCTTCTGTGCAAGACATGACGGAAGAGATCCGGCTGGAAGACCTTGCAAGGGTCGTGGTGTTGTTGCAATGCGATCATCTTAGCGAAATTCGAAGCTGGGTAATTGTCTCGCACACTGCATCTTGGGTGGCGAAATATGCGCTCCTGGTTCTTTCCCCAGTGCGGTCGGCCTTAGTATTTGCACAGGGTTAGCTGCTCAAGTGTCTCCGACATGGGTGCTTGTTTACCAGGCTTCTGAGGAGTCGCAGCGGAAGTCATCATGGTCCATTGGACCCAAGCGACGTCTTCGGTGCCGGCGTTTGTTTGTAATAGGTTTTCGCTTCCCCTGCCGAATCGGCAAACAAGCTTTTATTGTACGTCCGTATCGGTTCTGGAGGCGAGCTTCTACTTCGGCAAGCTCTGCTTTGACTATGGCTTTAACATCTTGCACCCTCTCCTCCAACCGGGAGAATTTGATTGCGAGCCCCATATCCTCAGAAACTGCCCCCACGTGAGATTGTTGGTAGATACACTTCGGTGAGCATAACGCCGATAGCATTGCATGATTGGTGGGAAGAGTTGCGTGGGCGACTGGCAATCCAGTTCCGTCTATCACCATTGGAATTCTGCTCGTTGCGTCTCCCAAGCTGCAAGCAGCAGGTTGGAGCAGAGGATTTGGGTTACTTACAGGAGCAGGATTCAGGAAAAGCAAGAACGAGAACTTAGAAATAGTGAAAGGTTTGAGAATGAAGTAATCCGCTGACCTTCATTCAACAAATCCGCAGAATCTGATGTATCCTCATCCCCCCAAGCAGCCATCACCTCACTGATCTTACTTGCGACTCCACTATCTACACCAGCCATGTAAGCAGCCCGTGCATTCGGATCAAACGCTGGGGCTGTTGCGGTGAGCGCATCCTCGGATTTCACAGGTGTGAACAGAATGGCTCTGTATGTGCTGAAGTCAGGGCGCCAAAAACTTATGACGTGAGGGGTCTCGTTTTGCAGCATGTTTTTCAACTCAGCTACAATGTTCGCATCATGCAAATCGTTTCGCGTTTCCACGATTGTCCAGGAGTATGGTTCCAGCTGCAGAGTGAACTCTGTAATGATGCCCAAGAGGCCTAACCCTCCAATTAAAGCTTTCAATTCTTTAGCCCCCTTCTTTGTTTGTGCATCACTGACGATTACTTCTCCCCTTCCATTCACCCACTTTGCCTTCGTCACCAAATCGCCGAGGCTGCATGTGCTTCCCAGCCCAGACCCATGAGCGGAGCTTGATATTACTCCGCCGAGTGTCAGGTTCCCGTAAATGGAGAGTGCCCCTGCAAGAACCGACATGTTGTTTGCTTCGGCGGCGTTCGCCAGGTTGTGAAGCGTCATTCCAGCCTCCACGGTGATCTTCTTTTGATCCGTATCAACAGATACTATTCGATTCATCAGGTGGAGGAGCAGAGTGATTGAGGTAACTCCTCCGAGTTCTCCATCATCCGTGGTCTCCAGGTTTGTGTTTGAATCGAATTCCAGCTTTGTGCTGTCCCGCCTTCCTGCACAGGCCATCTCACTCGGGGTGTGAGATCCCCGCCGAGTGGCACGGATCCTCACTAGCTTGTCAACTGATGTATATCGGTTGATGATCTCTCTAACTTCCTCGGTGCTTTTCGGGGTGGTTTGGATGTCAGAAACGCATTTCACGAAGCCACCTGCAGAGTAGAGCGCATTCTCATCTTGCTGCTACAAGGCCTCGCTCACAAATTCCTGGGTCAATGTATAGGAATCGTCATTGCCGGCTACGACATTCGCCAATCGACGACCCAATAAGATTTGCAGAAAAACCACAACTCCGACCACCGTTCTCCAAGACATTGTACACGTTCTCGACACTCGCGGTCAAGTGAGTCGACAACGCCACTCTCGCACCTCTTGGGTAATTTTTCACAGAACTGACCTAAGAAATGACTTAGGTTTTCGCAACATTCCTTCAAGTTTGGAGTTTCTTATGATCTATTCCCTTTGCCAGCTTAACAGAAATTGGGGGATCCACTCGGGGTGTGAGATCAGAAATAGAGTGGATCGAACTTCTCTGCTTGAACAAGTACCATTTTATTTGTCGCATCCAGCGAGACGCTGCCGGCACTGAAGGAGTTGAATGAAATATTCAATAGAAAGATGCGTTTGGACGACTGTCAAAGAATCACGGCGTCCTTGTGTATCAGTCTGACAACTTAAAGGCTAAGAGGTGTTTATTGAACTGCACGGCTCTTGTCATAAAGCTGACCTATCAGTTAGTACTTCATTTGAGGTTTGACACTTACACTTGCATGTTAGTTGTTATGCTGTTTGTTGTTTGTCAGAGCGATCTGTATCTCAGTTCTGTAGTACCATCTTCGTTCCTATCGGTGAATTTGGTTTTTAGGGACCTAACTCTGGGTACAAATTATCTTCCGTGGACAATGAAAATAACAGAATGAAAGTGGGTCAATCACACTGACCTAGTTACAGATAGTGTTCTCTTAGACTAAAGCTAGACATTTTGGATACAAGTTTGTAGATCATCTATATATTGGTTGAGAAGTTGAAATAATAATGAGCTCATAGATTAGCAGTAATAGTAATCTATATATTGGTTGAGAAGTTGAAATAGTAATGAGCTCATAGATTAGCAGTAATAGTAATCTATATATTGGTTGAGAAGTTGAAATAATAATGAGCTCATAGATTAGCAGTAATAGTAGAGAAGTCAAGCTGCCTTACATCTTCTTTGAAGAATAATCCCTCCACCAATACTTAGCATCCTATTCTTGACAACAATCATTAAATTATTATTATTATTATTATTTTATTCAAATCTAGTAGTGATCTCTGACAAACTTCATTATTAAATAATAGTAAAGCTCATTCAAATCACTCATCTCATACTTTTTTAAAAAAAATTGCTTTCAATCAATCTATCATTTTTAATGTGTTGATTAAGATGATCAAATCATCAACATAAAAGATGATAATCAATATGAATTCACTTAATTGCATCACATACATGGAATAATCAGCCTTATTTTTTTCAAATTCTTCATTCAAGAAGAATGTGTCAATATGTTGATACAATGCCCTTGGTTATTGCTTGTACCCATACAAAGATTTCTTCAACTTACAAACAAGGTGTTGTTTGCTTTCTTCAACAAATTTTTGAGGTTGATCTATATAGATATCCTCTTCTAATTTTCCATTTAAGAAAGCCATCTTCACATCCATTTGATGCATCTCCAAGTCTATTATTGCCTGGATTGCCTTAATAGTTCTAATAATGTTGAATATGACCATGAAAGCAAATGTTTCATTGAAATTAAGACTTACAACTTATAAGAAGCCTTTGGCAACCAATCTAGCCTTGTATCTCACAATATTATTCATTGCATCTTTCTTGGTTTTAAACACCTACTACCAACCAATTAAAGATCAATTTGGTAGAAGTTGGATCATTTTCCATGTTCCATTGTCTATGAGTAATTTGTACTCTTCTTCCATAGCATTCTCTTACTTCAAAATATAGTAGTATTTATTTATTTTTTGACTTATTAATATGTTGCATAAAACTCTTTTAGAACTAAAATAATAATCTCAATGATATAGCTTATTTATTTTAATAAAAATTTGGATGCAAATATAAGACAAAAGATTAGAAGATGTGTATTACAGTAGAAAAAAGAAAAAAAATCAACCAAACACTGTATAAAATAAAAGACAAGATGCATATGTAAAGAAAATTGGTTAAAAGAGTTTTAATTCCACTTGAATAAATAAAAAAATAAAATAAAATAAAATAAAAATAATAAAAAAATAAAAATTGAGCAAAAATTAAAAATAAAAATTATCACAAAATAAATTATATTTTTTTTCAAATAAAAATTAAAAATTTTGATGTAAAAGAAGATAATAAGATTTAAAATTTTATTTAAGTTATGCTTTAAGTATTGCAATGAAGAAGTATTAAAGTAAATTTCTAAAACTTTTTATTTTATTTTTATTTTTATTTTTATTTTTGTATCTTAATTAGAATTTTAAATTTTACTTTTTTCATGATTTTTCTTAATTAAATGACTAATAAACCATATTTAAAGAAAATTATCATAAAATTTATTTATTTATATTTTAATTTTAAAAATTAGATAATCAATTAATTAAATATTATCATAATTTAAATAAAATTAAAAATATTAATATAAAATTATACACCAATTGAATATAAAAATAAAATATAAAGTAAAATTTCTTAAATTATGTAATTAGATTAACTAACTCTATATATATATTTATTTTAATTTATCAAAAGAGCCATTATAAATATGCTAAAATCTTACTTTATCAATGACAAGCAACATATATGCAAGTCTAAAATAATTTACATCAATAATAGAAGACCAAGCAAATAATTTATATTTTATTTTTTATTTTTTTAAATTCAAGCTTTATTTTTCTATTTTCTAATATATCTTATATTCTT